GATGGGCATAAGTGATAACGATTGAAAGTACAGAGAAATTAAATGAGAGAGACGCTGGAGTACCTCCTATGGCTTTGTCCAGCACTATCTCGAGCTCTACTCAAGTATCTAGAGGCTTCGGAGTTCAWAGGACTGAACGAAGTATGAAACGTGGACATCAAGTGGGTGTTAAAGTTCGCTTAAACGTGTGACGAATTCTTCTCCTTAAATTAAACTGAGCCCCTCATCTGGCAGTACTTAGGACTAATAGATCTATATATAGCCGGACAGTAATTTAAGGTAATCTTATCAAAATAATCATTCACCGATTGAAATTTTTTTAAGAAAATCATCTCCGCTGATGAGTTTCATTTTCATTTGAGGAAACAAACGAAACGCTGGTGCAAAGAAAATCCACAAGTTATACACGAACAACCATTACATTCACATCAAARACAGTTTGGTTGAAGTAAGTAAGTGAATAATTTTCTCTCGAAGAACCGATGATACGGATTTATCGTCTTTCACACTACAGCTCTATACTTTATATACTATATATTATAAATCAAGCTGAAATTCGTGCCAAAGCGCTGTACTTTCCTCATTACTTCATCGTCTTAAATTGAAATCTAAGAAATCTCAGCGCAGATTCCGAACAGCAGTGACACCAACCTTAACCTAGTCACATACCTGTCCTAAATGAAAAAACACGATGCCCTAACTTGTGAGCTGTCTAAAATGTTAGTCAGTAACTTCTAGTTCCATGGGTTTACTACAACATTTACTAGAGCTAAAAAACTTAGACTGAAAGTTCATTGCTCCGCTTAATATTATTTGCACATAAGTGTACATGCTGCATATATGCTTGCATTCAAATTTAATCCCCTCCGGTATTTATTCCGATCGCTTTGTTAGTAGTCATCAACACTCAGTTCAAAAAAATAAAAATAAAAATTAAAAATTTCCAAACACATGTTTTGCGTAAACTCCTGTAAGCCATATAACCAGTCAGCAAACACAACCCTACATATGCGCACCGTTATAGCAAGCACCACATAAATGAACACACAAAAAATGGAGTACTTAAAGGGGAAAACATGCCACTAACAACCTGCAAAACAGCGACAACGCCAATACATGGTTACGTAACGGGAGTGGTAAGCTCTCAAGTAAGATAGCCGATAATAGCAGAGGGGAACGTGGCAGCCGAGCRGAGACTGGAGTAGCGTAGTCAATATATTGAGGAGTAAGTTGAAAACCATTGCATAACTCCAGGGATTACAAGCAAACTCAAACTGTTTGTTAATGTGTAGTAGATACGGTAGATACGGCAGCACAAATACGTAAACATACCACTATATAACAACAATAAAAACAAACTTGAAACTAGCAAAGCGTGGCAGGAGTGAGCACACACAACAAGCGCACTATGACGACGGCTTGGTTGACAGACTCATTGAGTTTACCTTTAAGGTGGTCATGGTACTAGTGCATGGCATACACTTAGGCGCATAAGCAGTATAATGCCAGCAAAGTATTTGTGCACGGCGCTGTGTGCGTTAGTTAGTTTGCGTAACGATTTGCTGYGCAGAGGTTAGAGACGGAAGCGTAAATTGAGAGCGGCGGAGTGGAGCGTGAGTACKGCGAACAGCTGATTGGGTTGTGAAACGTGCTGAAGTCTATGGGGTGTGAGACTTAGCTGCACGAAGTACATGTCGGTATGCGATTTGTCTTGTTGGTGGTTTTAGTTGGCTTACSTAACGCTTTGATTACTTTAGTATGACGCACGGGTATAACAAATGAGTGAGAGGGTTCTCGATGCCGCTGTAAGTTAGTACAGCGTTAACTTACAAGTAGTTTTCATTCAATGTGCTTCGATTTACGTACAAGTATAAGCCTGTAGCGGCTGGGCTGGACGTGCAGAAAGATTATGTTTGTAGGGGTGTGTACAACACAACTTGTATTTGTCTAGGCGCCTATAGTCATACTCATGCAAGCACATATTTAAAGCTGCCTGCATATAATATCAGCTTTTGTCATGATTGCGGATCCATGTCTCGCCGGTAATGCACTTAATCGAATAATTTTCAAGTTCGACAAACATTTTCAATGTCGATTATATGCAAAGAGCGCTTGTAACGCAGAATGCTGTGGATAAGCAGGAGYTGAAGAAAATCGAAAAGACACACAGACTCCGGGCGTTGTGTAGAGCCGAGTGTGAGTCACTGAGTGTGTGTTCGACAGACTAACAAAAGCGGTTTGTATTAAGCTTGTGAATTTAAATGTGCTAAGCAATGAGCCAAGCAATACTGAAAAGGTGGATACAGGGTGGCTTCGTTAAGCTCAAGGTRCCCTGAACGGTAAAATGACAGCGGCAGTAGTTTGTTGATAAAAATGACTAGCAACTCCAAGGGAGTTGCAGGAGTTCCTATTATACACGCATACCATTTAAGTTTCGTATTTGAGTATTCATTATACGCTCGAAAAACTTTTGCCAAAGTAAAAMTGCGCGCCAAATGCATTTGAATGAAGTTCGATGGCAGTGAGTGAGAGTGGGAGTGAGAGACTAAAAGCAACTTCGACTGCGGGTTATAAGAAAATGTGAACTAACGTCGTGAGGCAGTAAGTAATGGATTAAAGAAGCCCATATAAGGATGAGGCAAGTTAGAGACTGTAAGCGTAGAGTTGATGTTTTAAAGACGAGTTAACAACTACACTTTATACGATGAACAGTTTTTGAACAGGGTTGCCATTCAAGTATGTATTTGCACTGATTTTTGATCAGTGCTGATAAATAAGTAAGTTCAAAGCTGGAAACCAGTAGACTTTTGGGCAAATGTATGAAAATTGTCTCGAGTCTTCAGGAGCTCGAACAGCTCGAATAAAGTTTTCCGAAGAAGGACCTCGAAGACTTTTGGGTAAATGTAGTATATGAAAATTCTCGAAGAGTTCGAATAAAGTATGTTGTGTTTGTTGTAACGTGCAGTCAAAGTTCTTCCTGTAAGTAGCTTGTGTCATACAGTGTTCTTTAGAGAGAGAGAGTCCTATCTTAGAAACGATAGATTATAATCAGTTTATACTGACTTTAGCCATTGGAGGAATGCTATGATACTCGATCTTGTTAAGGAAGTCGTGCTAAACTGGCAATGTCATCGAGAAATGAAGGCGCATGTGGAATTAAACCCATCGTTGACATTCCCCAGTGAGGAAGATTGGACCAATCGTTCTGACAGTTCCAACAGTTCCAACAGGGACATCTTTATTTTCATCGATGGATCACAGGGTAGAATAATCCATACGCAGAAGGTATTTACAAATGAAATGACTAAAGTTCAGTCTTTAAAGAACAGAGGGTGCCAAGCAGAGTTCCGCTCTAATCAGCAGTACCTTGAATCTTTTAGTGCACAGCCAGGCGGCAGTGAAGGCTATAATAGCGGCAAGTATGCCAGTGGGTCATAATTAGACTCTCARTTGGTAACTTAGTTAATATCACCTGGGTTCCCGCGTCTTATAGGCATAGAAGGAAACAAAATCTCAAGATCATTCTGCTTATTGAAGAGTTGTTCGACACAATTGACAATAGAAGAGCTCCTCAGGTCTTGGAAAACTAGCAACACAAAGTATACTAAAARTTACTTTGGGGTAGTGTTGATGGTGGACAGATCAAAAACCGCTTACTACTAAGAAAAAGGAAACTTAACACTTAAGAGCCCTCTTTCCAAATCTTGGAAAATYAGATTCGGCGGAATGTGGAGCATGCGCTAAGGATGTCGCGACGCTAGGACAAAGCCTCTGCAAATACTCATCCTACTTTCGGATGAGACGGCATATGTTCCACGGCTTGAGTGCTCCAACTGAAGTGACATTGGGCAGCAGGGGTGGAAAATTMTTAGKTTTCTCGAAATTTAATGAGTGGATGTATWAGATTTAATTTGGTTACCACCCRGGACGTTAATGAATGTCTGGCTTTTCTTCGCCTCTTTTTTCAGGCAACCAATCAAATGACAACCCTGTTCAGAYACGTGCTGGGTATGCTAAGAGCAGWGGTGGCATAAAAAARCGGCAGCARCTGCATTAACATTAGCAGGAACGCACATACTTACAGYAACTGTTTTTACAACAATACTGAAACAAACACCGCCAATTGCATCAAAATTCTGTCAGCTTCCCAACAGATAGATGATGCTGAGCTCATCAAGCCCAATGCTAAGCTATTTTTTATTCGCGCCGTTCTCCATTTATTTTCTTTCTATTTTTTCAACCTCATTGAGTTGTTCTATGTACGTTTGGCTCCACCAAACCTCCCTATTCAATCCATAACATATAGACAACCATAAATTGTCTGAGTTCATCGGAAGTTTCGGAAGTTTAGTTCGGTCTGTTTGTGCTCTTCCTTCAGCATTGAGTAGCTTGTTCAATTATTGTCGTATTACATCATATGTGCTTTGTCACATGCCTTTGTTTCTGGTCCATCTTTTGGTTTAAAAGGATTAAATATTTGACAGAACAACTCTAAGATGGAATGATCAAAGTACTGCTTTGTCAGTGTTCGTGAGATGGTATCGATGTGAATATTATCCTATGTCTAAGTATCGGGTTTCGACCGATTCTTATCTCTTCAAAGACAAAATTTAGAGCCTCAGAATTTGACCAGTAAAATAAATATTCTAAAATGCGGCCCTCGACTATGCGGTACTCTCGTCAAACAGATTGTGAAAATGTTTTCTTCTCTCCCTTCCTATCACTGACTTCRAAATATTAATAAAACACGAAATATATATGAAAATGTGAAAAAATGCGTTCTTACTTTCGAAGCGGAACTAGCTTGAGCTAGTCGATGATATGATCACAGTTTAAATATACAGAATAGTTTCATATAAGACTAAATCTTTCGAACAAGTTTGATGAGTAGATAAGTGAATGTACTTCAAACCGTTGAAGCTGAAAATTTTCTTAAAATACCATATTAACAATGCTTTAGTTAAACTCACCCCATCACCATAGGTTAGGCTCTGCTCACTAGATGCCCCGCTGCCATKTTGCTCCGCTTCAGCCACAATTGCCTTCGCATGGTCAGCTCCAGCGCCACCTTTATACTGMAATCTCGGATGATGTATCACTTGTTCCACTAACAATTTGGTTTTCTGTCCAGATTCAGCACCTACGCCACCTTCAGCGCCTTTGATGCCCTGATAATTTGGTGAGAGCCCATACTCTACGAATGAATTCGGCAGTGGGGCTTTTGGTTCAACTTTAATGGCTACGTATTGCTTTGGAGCAGGGATGGCAACATGCTGCACGGGACTATGTCCGCCGCCTTCAGCACCACCACCGGTGTTTTCTTTTTGCTCGGCCGCAGGACCTTGTTCCACAATAGGTATATATTCTTTGGACTTGGCCATACCGATCAGACGTCCATGAATGCCACCAGCATGAGCTTGAACTTGTTGTTGCTTCAGTTCGCCTACTTGTTGTTGCTCGTGCGGGAAAACTATGGGTGCGGTATTGGTGTGTGAACCGGGACCAACTGCAATGTACAGCTTTTTACGCTGCAGCTTGAGYTTATTCTGCATCTCTTTAGCCAAGAGATAGGTTAAACCATGTATTTGATCTTCGGTTGACTTGCCGACTAATGTGGAGAGTTGTTTGAATTCGGGTAGTTCTTTGAAATTCTGTTTTATATCATCTGCAGGGCCATGGTATTCGATTTTGACCAGCGGTACTTCGGCTTCTTTCTGTGGCTGRGCTGCCACTTGGCCTACTTCATATTTATAGTTTTCGATGTATTGAGGCGCCGCTTCGRCATGGCCGCCTGCGTGAGCAGCTGCATATACCGCTACAATTTGTTGCTCACCACCTCCATTGCCACCATGAACGCCGCCATAGCTAAYATGACCTTCCCCATATCCGCCTGCTTCGACCGCAGCGGCTTCTGTCAGTTTATTYTCGTTGAGCAGAGGATCGGGCTTCGAGGGTCGAAAGTGTATAGCTTTGATAGCGACCGCAGCGGGTACTTCTTCCTGCAATGCATGCGACACATCGGCTGCATATGTGTGGTGCACTGCTTGCAGTCCTTGATGACCAGCACYGGCATTTTCCTGGACTACAATGGGATGTGCGACACCACCGCCCTCTTGTTCGCCACTTTCGCCACCTCCTTCCCCTGCGATAGCTTTAGCTCCGTAGTTTTCAGCGACGTGTGCGACACCCACGGCATGTTGAGCTTGAGCTGCATTGGCGGCGTGGGCCGCCTGAGCAGCTTGAGCTTCAGCTACGGCATGTACATTTTGACCAGCATAGGCTGCTTGTACCGCGTGAGTAGCAGCAGCGTGTGCTGCCGCTTGTTCCTCAACAGTCACCGCTGCATGTGCGTTACCATCATAGCCATGGCCGACCGGTGCGGCGGCGACAGGCGTATATATGTAACGGATCTTTTCAACAACCGGCACTGGATGGATTTGCACCTGTAATTGTTCACCCTTCTGATGTGGTGGTATGTATTTTATATAGGAGGCGGGGGATAGTTTGCTGCCTCCACTACCAAGGCTATAGGTCGGCGGTAAGGCGAGCTTCGCACCATAAAGGGATTTCAATTGACGATAGTCGACCATATGTGCTGGTATGTATTTCACATAAGCTTTGCCACCACCARCGGCACCACCACCACCACCAGCGCCATGATCTTTCATAAGATGTGTGATGATCTTTTGCACCTCCACGGGCAGCGAACTAATTGACTTTTTTGCCTTCACGATGGGTGCTTCCTTATAGACAAATGTACGCTTGCTTTCGCCGTTGCTCTGATCGTTGTCACCTTCGTCAACGTCCTTCTTAACAGGCAGCTCAACCGGCTGGGCTTTCTTTGTATCCATACGGGCTTCTCGCTTATTAATAATATCATAACTACCTTCGTTAGTGTTTTGTTGATCGATAGCTTTAGCATCTTTGCGACTTTSTCTAACCAAACGTAATTGTTCTAATATAGCTTCGTTCGGTTCACGCGCATCYTCTAACTCGAAGCGTATCATTTGAGGTGCCGAGCGCTTGACGCGTTTGCCCTTACGCTTCATGAAGAGCTTGCCTGTTTTTGGTCGATAGTATTTACTCGGATTGAAGGTTGGTAGTGGTGCGGTTGCGATACCTGTTGCGGGCGCATTTCGATGCACACGTATCACTGTTGGAGCTACAGTGCTGACAGCGGCATTGTTACTTAACTTTTGCAGCTCCAGATTACGCATACGTCTTATGAGTGCCTTTGTTTGTTCATCGGGCTCACGTGCTTCGGAAATGTCGAAAGGTATTAGCTTTACTTGAAAATTGAATGACTGGCGATTTATTGGTGTATTAGGTGCTGCGCGTTTTGTACGTTTGTTGGGCGTAATCCTTGCCCGTGCACCTCGTGAAGAACGTTTCGGTGCTGCTGTGGTTATCTTAGTCTTCGCTTTCAGAGAGTCTTTTGCCGAAGTTGTGCTATTTTTCTCATYCGCATTGGTGAAACTTGTCGCTGTTGTTAGCTTTTCCTCTCGACTGCGATGTTGGCGTATGAGTTCCATTACCTCGGGACTGGGTTCTAGAGCATCGCTAATTTCAAATTTCACCAGCTGTGGCTCAGTCGGCAATTTCCGTGCTTGCTCAGCCTTCGTCGCCCGTCGTGCACGTTGACGTGAAATGAATTCGTGATGSTCATTATAGGCTTTAATGTAAGTGTCTTCTGTTGGATTATCTATGTAGCGCATGGAGCGTTGGTTGCGCGATGCAATGTAACGTCGCATGTCCTGTGTTCGAGTGAGATGGAGAGATTGAGAGACATAGAGAGAGGATATGAAGGCAAACATATAATGAT